GGGTTTTCAAAGGGTGACTTTAGTGGGCAGAGAGTAAAGTATCATCTTTTTTATATCTTCTGGACTACAGTTACTTGTTTGAGAGCTTGTAGCCATTGAGGTTGTGAAACCAAATAATTAAGCTCCGTGATTTCCTCTGTCCACATAGACAAGGCTACTACTAACACATAAAGGAGTTCTGAGCTCTGCTGCAGCAGGTTTTTCATTTTGCTGCTTAAAAAAATAACTGGTACAAAATGTTATGGCTTTACCATATAGTAAAGATGAAGGGCCCCATTTTCAATATGAACCTTTTGGAGGTTCAGGTACCTTTATTTTAACAAGGTAGATGGAGTTCCTGAACGGCAACACTATGGTAAATTCTGCTGTATTTTGTACTGCTTCTGTTTGTAAGGAAGACAGTCTTTTTCATTAAATAATATGGACTCTGAAGCCTTAGAAACGGTTTTGCTTGGAGACATTAAGCAACAGACAGAAATGAGTGGTGTCTTAGTTGGGGGCTTTGCTTAATCCAAGATTTTATTTAATCATAATACAGTAGGTTGCTTATGCAAAAGGTGGAGAATTGAACACATTCAAGTACATATCGAACAAGCAAAGGCTCCAGTTTATTTATTTAAACATTCCAAATCCTTCCTGCCTTTCCATGTTAGCAGTGCCAAAAATATTGATGACAGAATAATCTGATACATGTTTTTAAAGCCCTTACATTCCAACTCTTTAAGCATTAGTTCTCAGTTATTCTGGCTACTAAAATAATAATTAGGAGCTAAAAGGTAACTAGATTATTGTAGAGATCTCTCTTGACAGCCTTTAACACCTAGTTAAATGTTAAAGACTGGAAATTACAAGTCTCAGTATTATTTAGACCACAGTCCGTTTAAAGCAAATTGCTATTTCTAGCTTGTTTTTCATGCCATGGTACCACTCCAGTGCTCTCTAGTTTGCTCTGAGTTATCTGCCCACTTGCAGAACATCTTCACGAGGCATAAAAGGGTTCCTAAGAACACACGTCTTGTTAGTATGGATGTTAGGCTGGATCTCCAGGTGTGTGAAGAACACTGTAGCTGATTCAAGATATTTTGGGGCTGTTCAACAACTTCTGCCCTCCTTGCACTTGAATTTAACTTAGGTCTGTCTGAGCCAACGTAATGGTTCGATTGTGCTGTAAGGGAGAAGGACTGCTCTCTCTCCCTACCTCCCCCCAGGCCCTCTTCTCTGCCTCTCCACTGTGCTGGCTTTAACGCTCGTTGGAGACCTCTGTATCAGTAAAAAAGAGAGGGCAGAAATGGATAGGAGGGCAGGAGGAGGTGGGGAGGAACGAGCTGATCATGATCTACTGGAGTGGATCACCCTTAATGGGCAACTTCATGCTTGGGAATTGTTTTCACAGCAAGAGAGGTTTCACTAAAGCCCATGCTGGTTTTATCTAACAAAGTTAAGAACAGCAGCATCAATTCAGTGTCACCGGTTTCAGCATGCAATTAGCAATCAGTGTAATCCTGCAATGATTCTTCTCTGGATACTAACAGCTATGCTAGCATATATTATGATTGCACTTTTCTTTTGATGAATTAGGGCCAACTTAAACAATCCTATTAAAATGTCTTTCTTAAAAAAAATCAAGGTTATACTAGCAGGAATATTTTTCTCAGTATAATGTCCCGAGCAAAATAAGGCAAAATTGATAAAGGGACTTCTCTGCCTTGACAATAAGGTCTTAATCTACTGTTACCATAAAACACAAAAAATGAGAAACAGCTCTGCAAATCAGGTCTTTGTCAGGATTTTTGTAGCCTAGAGAATGTATGTAAAACTTTCCCAGCTTTGCTAACACAGGTTTAGCTCTGCTAATGTTAGTGAAATCTGGGTATAATCCAAAACTCTCTGAGCAGCAATAAGTACATGGCTAAATTTTATTTTTCTTTATCCTATCTCCTTTGACAGTATTACCCAGCACAGAAGTAACAGCAACAAGCAGCAATACTCTTGAAAGCATATGTTGCCTTATAAAGTCGTGTACTCTATCATAAAGTCAGCTAACTTGTCCATAGTTTTCTTATTATAGCTGTTAGGAGCTGTAAACGTTACATCTTCCGCTGCTGAGAGCTTATTGAAAATCGCTTATTTCTAAAGGCAGCACTTCTTTGGGTGGATGTTTATCCTGTGAACACCGTCAGCTGCTCTCCTTCACTGAAAAGCTGCACCCATGCTATTCAGCAAGATTGATTTGACTCTGTGCTTGTACTTAGGAAACAGTATGTGTTGTATAAGTAAAACTAACTGCGCAGACACAGGTTCAAATCAGTAATTAATACCTGACCTTATTGGTACTTAACTTTCAGCTGCCCAAAACAGCTGTTTGAAACTTTCGCCTCACCGTCTAAACAGGAGGCGCCTAGGCTAGGCTACGCGGCGAGCCCCTCGCCTCTGCTCTGCAGCCGGGGGAGAGGCATCTGTCCTACCCGAAGTGATGTGCCTGCGGCCATCAGGAAGGATCATCCTCTGAGGATGCCAGTCTCTTCCCACTCGCTGCAGGGGGAGCCCAGACGGCGGGATGAATCCTGCATACACTGTGCATCCAGCTGCGCCGGCCCGACTAACTGCCTGACAGCGGTCTCCACTTAGCTGGGGGTTTTTGCTTTTGTTAATAAAAACTTGAGGTCTCTGTTAGAAAATAATGCCCAATATTAATAGTAACAAAATGTATTATTGCCGAAAGTCAGAAAGCATAGAAAGGCAATGATTCTAGTGTAGAAAATCATGAGGGAAAATTGAGGACAGCAGGAGCTAATCACAGTGCCTGTTTACCCTAGGAAACTAGTTAGGAAGCTGACTTTTCTGTTTAATTGGTAGATGGAGACAGGCATTGCCTGAGAAAGATTCAGGGCATTTAAACTGGGGCTCCGAGTGGCAAGTGGGCAGCTTAGCTGGGCAGCATTTAAGATTATATCGTCACGGATTGCATCAGACATGGTGCTTGCGAGTTCCAGCGGCTGGCAAACACGGAGACAGCCGCGGAGGGCGGGCGGCTGGGGTCAGCAGCTGCCTCCGTTGCCCCGGCGGAGCGGCCGCGATCCTGCCCTTCCGCCAAATCGGAGAAGCCCTCGCACCTCTCTAGATTTCTGAAGTCTCACTACTTCATCTGGTGTTTTGGTGTGGACGTTCTTTTCAAGGGTGACAGGACAGTGGCTCAGCTATAGCTGCTTCATATCTGATTGTTTCAGGAATCAAAATGTATTGTGGCTATAGGGACACTGTTTAAGTAAGTGCTAGGCTGGCTACAGGAAAAACAACTGAAATAGAATTAAAATGTTATAAGCTGCAAAGTATATTCTCTAGAGAAGAAAGTAAAGGCTTCTTTGTGCAGTGCCAGCTGCATTTATTACTGTACTTCAAAACTCACTTTCAAAAATGCAAGAATCTAGTTTTAAACTTGAGAAACGTAAGTAATAAAATATACTCGCTTCTGTTTTGCACAGCTCTTCCTTCATCAAAAGCGAAGTCCTCACTTTTTTTCTCCTGTAAAACTTTAAGAATTGCAAAACAATGCTTTACATTTTTACCTTTTGTTATAGTCTGTGACTGATGAATTTCTAGTTTATTGACTCTTTATAAAATCTGAAACCACGGTGATGTGTCAAACGGAGTGCAATCATATGTTTCAATCATGTTTTTGCTTTCTTGTTCAGCCAAACTGCTTTCTATTGAATATTGCTCTTTTGTAAATCTGATTAGGAAAGCAAAGGCCTTATTTATTAAAGCATGCTTAAGTTTCCTCTCTTAAAGCAGTAACATGTTGTATGTCCACTTACCGCAGAATTTAAGCAAGGCAACCAGATGTCAGTTGCGTAAGACATGAGTAATTTCATGAAAAAGCTGACACTGGCTATATTATACATCTATGTATCTTATAAAACAAAGCAAATTATTACCATCAATTATAGTAACATCATTTGACAACTCTGCAATTAATTTGCTACTCTTTGATAACTGTTGTTGCACAATGCCAAAGAAAATGCCATGCATTAACTGACTCATCAGCAGAGTCTGTGATAAACGGTACAGATGGTGATGTGATTATTCATCCCCAACAAAATAAAGAAGTGCTTTATTACAGAAAACTATTCATTTTGGTCTTGTAAGGGAACAGTAATAAGATACCTAGAGCATCTTAAAAATAACCACCACAGTAATATAGACTTCTGCTGAAGCATTATTTCATTTGTTAAGATTTGTGGAGTGTACTAGATAGTTCACAGACACGACACAAGCTAACGCAGGATGGGGTACAAGAAAACTCATGCATTCCTTCTATATAAAAATGTTTCTACATGAGAAGAATGGGAAGATTCTGCTTTGCCTACCAGAAAGTCTGCCAACTTCACCAAATATCTAGAAAAAGTATTCCAGATATATATGCGGCTAAAATATTTATCCAACAAAAGTAATGGGCAGTGCCACAATAGATGTCAGGATCATTAACTTTTGGTCTTTTCCAGTATGATTATAAACGTGTATTTAAAATACCAAACAGGTACTGATCCTGCAAAGGTTTACTGGTAGAGTTAACATTATTACTTGAGCAATCTAATAGACTTCCGTGGAACCATCCCTTATGTATCACCTTGTCTTTGCATGAATCAAAGCCATTATGATGTACCATGTGAAGCGTTATGAGTGAGCAGTAGAAGTGGCACCTTTTTAAGAACTAAAGGCACTTTCAATATCCCCTTGTGGTTAATCTTGTATTTGTGTTTACTGGGCATATGAAAGACCAATCAAATGGTACTTGCTTACTTTGCTGGTAGCCCGTGTGTGAATACACGGTGTCTACCTGCACAATAGACTAAATACAACAGTTTCAATCTTAGGTGTATGACAGGCTTATACGTTTAGCAATGCAAAAAGTACAAATTAATTTGCAAATACCTTCAGGTAGAAATGGAAAGTGAATGTGTCATATTGGTTAATTTGCGACTCCAAATATGTTGACGTACCTCCCCAGAGAAAGCCTGCCCATTGAGTAGGTGCTCTGATCCCTGGCTGTCTTCACTTCCAAAATGTAGCCGGATTTCTTCTAAGCGGTGACTATATGTCATCGGCCCTCCAGAGATGTTGACCAAATGCTCTTTGTCTAGTCGCAGAGAAACATGTCTGCCTGTATTATACATTGTCCCACTGACCTAAACAAAATGGGAAAAGAAGGCATTTTTTCAAAATTATTTGTAAGTCCTAGAAACTGGTTACACATACCTCAAGCTTTTGCTCCTTACATACCTTCATTTAAATGTAGCAATGTGACTCATTGTTGTGAAATGAAATACACAACCTGAGGTTATACTTCAAATTCTGCTTTGAATTTTGTACTGTATATTCAGATATTTGCTAAATTTGTATGTACATATCTTAGCCAGGGGCATATGGTTAACACAATGAATGGAATTATTATACTACTAAATAAGTAGGCTTTTAGAATATTCTTTATGCAAGATCTGAATAATGGCTTCATTACAAAATTTCTGCACTGAAAATGGGAACATTTCAGCTAACATAAAATATTTAAGTACACTTTAACAAACCTGAAATTTAACTCTTTTTTTCTCTTGTAATATTTGTAACAAAGTTATCCAGAAATGAAGGGGCTGCAAAAGCAGAGAGAGAATTATTCATAAATAGGGAGCCCTTCTCCTACTGGAGCTGCTGGTAAAACTGATAAAACTGATTTATAGCAGTTGCTATAATGAAAAAGAAAATAAAGGTGGAATTTTTTCATATAGAATATAATTCTGTCATATTTTTCCACTGTCATAGGAAAAGCTCCTATAGCAAGAGGATCCTTAACTTAAGGAAACATGCCAGTTTGAGTTAAAAATAGAATTGTGGTTTATTTAAAAACATTCTGCCTGGATACAAATGGTACACTTGAATAACGTTAATTTACTTTAAGAAGAGGAAGTATAGAAATAATATGCTTAGCTGCACTTCAATTTAAAATTGAAGACATGGCTGTTATGTATTATATCCTATACTACAGCAGTACTATAGTAATTAACATTGCTGCAGTGTCATTTTATCTGTAATACTAATTACTGAGTTTAAATGACCTGTTTTGTTGCACAGTATGTTGTAAAAAGTTATGCTGCACAGACTGTGCAATAGAACTAAATGGATGAGATTAAATAGTTTTTGCAATTGTTGTAGGGTTTTTTAACTTTGATACAGATGTTCTATTTTTTGTGTTTATTCCAACTTAAAATAAGCAGTAATAAATTACTTACGAAAAGCAATAAACACAAGTATTACTATTCATTTCAAATAAAACACAATGATCTTATAAATGTTCCTTAGTTTTCTGCCTGACTTTGCTTCCATAGTAATTAACTACCAAGTTTAGTTTAATAGGGAGAAGGTCAATTTATTGATTTCAGTTTCAGTACGCTGCATATGAATGACACAAAATTGCTAATCATACATAACAAATGTAATTTAAAAACAAACAGGGGAAAATGGTTAAAAGCCTCTTATTCACATTTGGAAAATCATGCTTCACTGAACACTCAGTTAAATTTAGCAACGCTGCAAAATATTCAGAATCCATTTTCTTACTCAAATTGGTACAAGCCTCAAATTAGGTTACCATTATTTTTTCTCTCAAGGCAAAAGTGACCCAAATAACCCCTAATACTACTCAAATAACTCTCTGTAGAGTAAATATGGGAAATGAAAAGAGGCAAATTCATGAACAGTAGTAACATTTGTCTTTCTCATTTTCACCCTCATAAAAATGCAATGCACGTAATAAGATTGTATTGATTGTTTTAAAACAGAATTTCCTTATGTAAGTGCAGATAAAGAGTACTGGTAATGCAGTGAAGTACTCATCATGCCTCACTTCTGACCTGCAGGGAGGGACAAACAGCTGAAGTGAGACTATGAACAGTCCCCTGCGGGGACACACAGACTTGCTGCCAGGAAGGACAAAATCCAAGATCTTCAATAGCAAAAATGCAAGGTCTAGTCACTTTTTAGGTTTAAGCGTAGAACCGATTTTTCTACTGTGAGCAGATACCTGAGGAAAGGGTAACCCCAAATACTAGTCTAGGTACTGAACACTGGTCCTAACGCATCCATGCCCTTTTCTTTTTCTGGAGGGTGTCAACATACACTACCAATACTAGCAACTTTTAAGGAGCACTTTTTCTGTGCACATTTGCTTACTAGCAAGAGAACAGAGGTATCTTATATTTGCATTTATTCAGATTACATCAGCAGGAAAGCTTGGAAAGTTAGGAACTACTTTTTGATTCCAGGGAAGTTCTGACTCACTGAGTTTGTATAATAGGCTGTGTTTGATTATGGAAACTGCCACCATATTGCTGTGTGAAATTCTTTATTCCAGCTCAGGATATTGTGTGCTTTACATACAAACGCAACATCTCGCAACCTTTAAAAGCGTACATTTTGAGTATATCCATTTACAGTTGTAGGACAGCCATAGCATCACGCAGGTACAATCACCTTCTGTTTGCAAGTTCCAAATCTACCTCAAGACTCATTATACTCAGTGGGAAAGCTGCATACAAAAGCAATACAAGAAAAAGGAAGTCTATTTTGCAGTTTGTCTTATTTTCAGCAGAAAGCAATGTGCTATTATTTCAGTGTGCACAGTTTTCACTATGACTGGAGAATAACTATGTTCTGATCCTGTTCACTATGTGAAGCTATTGATAAAAGAAGGTTTTTCCATATTTTATAGTACTGAGCCTGTAAGGTAATGGTGCAAACTCATTTTAGAACATCAGACTGAGTTGGGCTTACAGAAAGCAAAGTTGCATGTGGTCTTGTAAAAGGGCTCAGGCACAGAAGTCAATTAGGAGGTATTTTCTGTATCTCCTGTAAGATACACAGCATAAGAGGCAGTGCCTTACGGGAAAGATGTTGACCCTGCCTCATGTAGTCAACACTACCTGCTAGTCCAGAAAACATAGTGTTTAATTTTTATACTGTTCTGTGGATTGGATAAAATGTTATAGGATGGTTTAGAACGAGAATATAAAAGATCTATTAAAATCTATGTAACTATTTCCTTAATGTGTCAAACTAATCTTTGATGTTAAGTCCTTCACAGTCATGGCCATTTGTGTTGCTTCTTGCTCTCCTATCAAGTAAGCTTTTTGTTTGCTGTTCCTGTTTGACTTGGAAGTTACATAAAGATGAAAACATAGTAAACTAGCTTGGGGAAAAAAACCACTAAATTTCATCCTCTTTCTCAAAAGGATCAATATTCACTGTATCTTATGCACTAGAAATAAGATTACAATAAAGGAAAAAAAGTTTAAAACATCAGTAATCGCCTGTCTGAGAAAACAGCAAAGTCCAACATCTTCTGAGTTAACAATCATACTGCTTTCTTAGTTGACCGTGCTTTCTTCATATATTGGGAAGTGTTTCCAAATAGGCAATTTTACATATGTCAAAATCCCCAGGTAGAATAAAGCATGTTGAGGGGCTTCAACCTTAATTGTGGAATATTTCAGCTTTGGTAGGTTTTAATTAAATTATTAACATTTTTCTGATGTAGTTATTTTCTATTTAATCTCATTCATTTTAATTCTTGCTTCACAGACCTTTGTGCACACAATTCCCCAACAGCGCTATTCTCTCTCTTTAGCTTGATGCAAGACATCCACAGAAGGACATGCTACTAATATATTCTCTACTACATTTCTAAGTGAGATCTGATTGCTTGTGCTGTATCTGAATATAACTTGCTGGTCCTGTAATCACAAAAAAGTCCATGTTTTGCTCTTCAAAAGATGGAACGCAAGCAAAGTCAATAAAAATCCATAACTAATAAACACAAACTCTTTGATCCATGTTTATATTGAAATTCAACATATTTTTATGACCATTAGAATAAAAACCTGAAACATTTTTTTCTAACATTTTTCTTTAACTGTGTCTCTGAAAGCATTTTTGTTGTGTTTTATTTAGCAGTATATCTTCTTCACCTAGTCTTTTCTTCCACAACTAGTTTCATGAATTAAATATTTTTCGGAAGTTCTTTTGCAGCCTACATCTTTAGATTATAGTCTATGTTAAAATAGCTTTCAAAAATCTTAGCTGAGAAAGTAGCAAAAAAAGAAATCTGTTTCGTGGCAAAGCCATGTTAATAATTTAATCAAGGAGTGCAAGAGGAAAGGAGAGAGAGCGTTGAGACAGATGCTTTGTCTCTCAATCCTAGGCTATTTTAGCAGTTCACCAGCATAGCACAGGCCCTCTGCTTCCAAGGGGCCTTTACAGAATAGTGAAATAGTGTCTCAGTTAGCATTTTGGATTTATTCAGGTAAGAGAGGTCTGAGGATCAGTTCCAAGAACGTTTTTTAACTTGTATCAGTACCTGCCAGTGGAGCAGCACTGGATGTAAGGAACCAAGAAAATCAATTGTGTATGCTGCCTGCTGGGGTGTCCTTGGATCTTATCTGCAGTATTAGATGTTTCTTTCTTTAAGATGAAAATAGATATAGCCCAGAGAAGGCCTAGCACTGCATGGAAAACAAATCACCAAGAGTGGAATCCTGGTTTGAAGGTGGCGTAATGCCTGAGTTTTACCTCCTGCAATAACCAAGTTTCTATCAGCTGCCTCCTGGCTTCCATGTTTTTCTCTTTGAGTCATTAATCCCAGCAGAGTCGGAAAGCAGCTCTGCAAGCTTAGGCAGTGGGGGGCTTTTCCCCCTGGTTAACAGCACCTGAGCTATTAATGCCACTTACATTGTCATTAACTTTGGTTTTTGCCAGTCTGTATCAATGCAGCAAGAAGAGGAGGTTGCCTGCTGATTGCGGCATGGATCGTAAGTGACCTTTAATGTGCTGTTTGTTTTCTGCTCAACTGGTGGCCCTGGGAGGTTCATGGAAGGGCCAATGCGCCATGGAAACACTAAAATATTAATATGAATATGAAACTATTCCTAGCATCTGCCATCTACATATCTCAAACTGCTTCCCAAATGTGAGACTAAATCTGCAATTGTCTTTTCTCTCACTGAGGTAGGTAACCATTAATGCCAGGGTTGTTTCATTTTCTTCCTGACACTTGGAGAAGATTGTCCTGTGCAAAATTTCACTCTGTGACTCAGGTCACCTGAACATGAACTCGTGTATACAGTGGCAAACTGAATTATGG